CTGATAACTAATACATTCTAATTAGAAGCAGAGAGCATGTCCAGCCTGCCATGCTTTTTCAGTGGTACCGTGTATCTGTGCTTAATAGGAATCAACTGTAACTCTTATCATCATATGTAATCTGGTTTCTCTTTGATGGATTTTCTGATCATCAAAAACCTGCATCAAACTTACTTGTAGATTCTGTTATACTTGGGTTTCTTATATTTCTGTTTTTCTCAGTTTCTCGTGTTTCACAGCATTTTAATAAATCATGATACATCAATGTAATGTTGCGTCCCCTATTAAACATAACTGTGTTCAGCATTCCACACATTCAGATAATGTAATGATTGCGTAGAAGTAACAAAAGAAAAATTCAATATTGATAAATGGTAGATGAGGCAAACAGTTTCTGATTAGCTCATAAGTGAAAAGGTAAGAAACATATCTACAAGAATAATTTCTTCTAAATAGAACGCAACATAACAGTGTGTATGTGTTAGTACCCGCAGGGAAATCTCTGCTCTGCATTTAACCCATTCACCCAATGAAGCAGTGGGCAGCCACCAATGCAGCGCTCAGCGTTCAGTGGAGTCGAAACCCCAAGCTTCTGATCATGGGGCCACCACTCTACCTACAGAGCTATCCCGCCCCTGAACTGAGCTACCCCCCACACCCACACCCCTGCCTAATTTGGCAGTTTCAAGACAGATTTCCCTCTATCATTTATGAATTTATCATCCAAGTAGACTAGTATTTCTTTTCTGAGTAAAGAAAAACCTACTGTGTGTGGTTGCTCAGATCATGTCTGTGGGACCTGAGTGAAGGACACATAAACTGTTTCCTCTTACTCCTCCTCTATCAGACATTCTCTCCATACCTGAGGGTGTCCAGTCTCCAGCCTGGATCCTTGAGTCCAGCTGAGAGCAGCTTCATTCCTGAGGTTCCTGGATGATTGTAGCTCAGGTCCAGCTCTATCAGACGGGAGGGGTTGGAGCTCAGAGCTGAGGCCAGAGAGGTACAGCCTTCCTCTGTGATCAGACAGCCTGAGAGACTGCAGACACACAAAACAATACATCTGTGAATAATTAACCAGAACTTTTAATACTTAATGCTCAGGAGCATTTCTAAACTCAAAAATATCCTGTCATCTAAAGGCCAGGAAACTGTTATCCATGCTTTCATATAATCACGTCTTGACTATTGTAACTCTCTCTATCTAGTCATCTGTCACTCAAGCCTTTCCCGCCTGCACTCGAACTCTGCGCTCCTCCAGTCAGATGCTTTTATTAGTTCCACGCTCCCAGTTCAAATCTGAAGGGGACAGGCTTTCTCCATTGCCGCCTCGAAACTCTGGAACAGTCTTCCCCCTTTCATAAAATCCTCTTCGTCCTTGGAAGTCTTCAAATCCAATCTGAAGCATTTTCCAAGGCTTTCGGATCTCTCTGACACCCCTTTTATTCTGTTTCAGCTACCCTGGTCTTTTATCTCATTGGATGATGTTTGCATGTGTAGACACGTATACATGTATTTTATGTTCACGTATGTGTGCTTGTGTGTGAATGTGTACATTTTTGCATACGTATGTGCATATTTGCATGTACACTTTTTTTTTTTTACAAAAATATATGGATGTCTCACAATGTTTCTATGTTTTCATCTTATTTATTTTAATTATTAGTATATTTCTCTGTTCAGCACTTTGGCTGACACCTGATGTCTTTTAAATGTACTATATAAATAAAGATGACTTGACTTGACTTGACTTATTGGGGAAAACAGGATCATCACACTGTCTTGGAACTCTGGCATGCAGGCCATTTTGCTCAGTCTCTTTCTTATGGTGGACTAACACCATCCTTAACTGAGGCAAGTGAGGTTTGCATTTCTTTCAATGCTGTTGTGGGGTCTTTTGTGACCTCTTGGATTAGTCATTGCTTCATTTTTGGGGTATTTGCAGTCAACCAGTTGCTACTCTTCTATGTTTTCACCATTAGTGGACAATGGCTCTCTCTGTGGTTTGCTGGAATTCCACAGCTTTAGAACTGGCCTTATAACCTTACTTGATATTTAAATTTCTTTGAAGATCTGAAAAGTTTATGTGTGCCCAATGTAAAAATAATAAGAAATCACAAAGGTGGCAAACACCTTTTCACAGACGATAAAAAGAAAGAAAATAGAAAGAAAATAAAGAAACCCCAACAATCCACCCGGCAATAACACACTTCCCCAGCAAAATTTCAGACAGGTGAGTTACATCTATGATGATTTTTTTAATATACATTTATTATGAAATAAGTGTAATAACTTCATAATTAATCAAGAGAGAAGTAAGGTACAGAATAGGTGGAGGTGAAGAGAGGCTAGGAGGCGGAGTGCTCTTTTAACATGTTCTACCATGGCATAGTTAGGAAGAGAAATGGAGCATGAGTAACTTTGACGGAAGACTATGTGAATAGTGTTGTGGAGGTGAGAAAAGTTTCAGACAGGATTATGCAGCTGAATTTAGAAATGATGGGGGGATGATGAATGTTACGGAGGCAGAGCCTTCAATTTTCAGGCCACTCTTCTCTGGAATGGCTGTAATTGGAAAAATCACGATCAGCTTTTGTGCTATATATCGGTTGTTAAATTTAGCGTGGAAATACTTTACAAACATTCAGAGATGAACTTACAGACTTGCTTTACTTCTCTGGGATAGCTTTCTCTGATATGAAATACCATTTTGGAAGCAAGTAGCGAGGCTCCAAATGCTTTCAGTGTAAAGTAACTCCAGACCGCCGACAGGTCTCGCACGCCACAGGCGCTCTATCACGTGACGCATTCTGGTCTGACATGCTAAGGTCATGAGCTGGGTTACGCCATGTCGCATGTTTTCTAAGTTGCTTTTGTGCTTAATGGATCGGATTACATTTTTTATTCCTTTCTGATATCCGATCAAGTAATTTAGGTCAGCATCGGACTGATACCGATACATAATATCGGATCGGTCCATCCCGAGTTGTAATCATTTTCTAGATATTTAAATTTTCAGAGACAGTCAGGCTTTCATTAATTACTTGTATGCCCAGACAAAGGCAGCTCTAAATTTGTATTTATGAATCCCAGTTAGTGCACATGTACTGTTTGTGAATGCTGCATAATATCACATAGAAAAAAATCCTCTTATTACCTTGCACAACTAATGTGATCATTTAGACAAAAATCTCCAAGAATTTCTTTCATGTCAAGCATTCTAAAAGACTGTGAAATGGAGATCCCATAGAAGCAATATACAGATATATTAATATACCTGTATATTGCTTGTATATACAGATATATTAACCCTTTAAGACCTACCATAGAACCAAGTCTGCCAGAGCTTACTATATATTTTTACATGCTGTAGTGCCATTTTTGGGAGCATTTCAAGTTGCTATACATCAATACAACTGTTATAGCCCAAAATTTAATAACATGGATGTATTAAGTCCATAGTAACTACATAAATTGCAAAAAAGTGCAATGAACTACAAAGAAATTAAAAGTTGTTGTTTTTTTTTGTTTTTTTCA